CCCACATTCCACCTTTTTATGATTGCATCCCCTGCTGACATCTGATGGCAGTCTTGTAAGATCAGCTGCATCCATATTCATATTCTTAATTCATTGAAATACCAGGGCTTCCAATTTTATCCTCATGGCAGTTGGCCAGGAGCCTTGGTTCCTTACCATATGAGACTTTCCATGGAACAACTGGCTTCACCCAGAGCAAATGGTCAGAAAAAGGGCAACCAAGATGGAAGCCACAGTGTCTTTTATAACCTAATTTGGGGTGGCATGCCATCACTTCTGCCAGGCAGAATTCACTGGGGGACCCTCTTGGAGCATAGCCATCACATTGCTCAAAGTCTTGTAGCTAGTAAATGATGTGGGGTGGATTTGAACCAATATTCTCTGACATCACAACCTGTGTTCATAACCACTACAGGGCAGGTAAAGAAGGAAAAGGGAGATGGATTTTATATGCATTCTACTGTAAAACTCCACAAGAACTGAATTCAGTTGACAACCATAGCTGGTTGGGCCAAGGTTATTAAAGGGGAAGGTGAGATATAGCAGGCAACTCCAATTTCAGAAACTAGAAGGTGGAGGACAGCTTTCAGACATACTGAGTTTTCTCCTCAGCTACCACTAAAGGGTCAACTAGAATCCTTACTGCCATCACAAAGTCCCTGTCAGGAATTCCCAACCAGGAATTGTTTCCAGGTGGTACCAAGCCACAGTCAGGGCTGGGCAGATGTGGATAGAACAACCATACTTAAAACCGAAGGCTGGCTCCATTACCCTAAAATCATATGACTCTATTTCATTATTTTAATGAAAAAATTCTCATCCCCATTCTGTTGAATCAGAAAGGGATTTCCACATATTTAGAAAGCACCAGATACTAAACTCAAGTCAGGGGAAGAGAGGGAGAGAGAAGAAATAATGAACCACAGCCCACGGTGACAATCTTAGAGCAGAGGGAGCAAGGTTGGTGGCATGATGGTAGTGGGGGCATCAGCAGAGAAAAAGAAAAGAAGCTTGGATCTGGACAGAGGAGGGTTGAAGTACCTGGGGGTAGCCAGGTGGGAATGACTTGAAAGTCACTGGATGTGTGGCTCTGAAGCCCGGAGAGAAAGACTGGGCTAAAAATACAGATTGGGAAGTTGTCAACTTCAGAGTGAGTTGGAATTTGAAAGTGTGTGTAGAATTGGAACGGCTGTTGATTGAAATTGGAGATCGATGCCCTAGTGTCTCCAGAAAGCTGCTTCCTGCTTTCTCTTTGCTTTCCCCTGGCTCTACCACGCCTCTCCAACTTTCTCTGTGACCAATACCTGCTTGTCCTGTAAACCGTGACTCTAGCCCCTGCTCTTCTTTAAGATCCTCCTGGGCCCAGCACAGTTTCCCTTCCTCTGTCCTGTGCCAATTTGTACTTAGTTCTACTACAGCACTTCTATTGCACCTTAAGTGTTTTTGTCTTCTCAAAGGTGTGGATTACATCTTAGCAACTTTGTATTCACTGTCCTGCTCCTTAGGCTAGCAGACATTTATACAGAAGGAGAACCTGAGGACCCAGGTCAGCCACCATCCCTGTGACCACTGGGAAATCGCTTCTCTCTGGGCCTTAGTGTTCTCCTATACAGAAAGAAGTAGGGAGGTTTCCATCTGGCTGGAAGACTACGATTCTTGGAATGATTTTACTTAGCCATCCTCAGGTTGTAGAGAAGGAAGCTGCAGACTGGGAAGAAGTTGCCTTGGATTTGTCAGGAATCCACTCTGTGGACTCAAGTCATTCCAACCTGACTCTCAGGCTTTCCTGACTGTAGAGAGAAACGTTGGAACTGAATTTGGGATTCTGCTAGAAGACAGGAGTTCCTTGTCAGCCAGGGGTAAGCATGCACATGTGGGGAGGGCCAACAACTGGAAGCAGTTCATCAGATCCAGCTGTGCCTTTATTTTTTTCTGTCCTCATTCCCTGCCCATAGGGGAATCCGCTCTCCTGCCACTCGACTTTCCATTACTTACCTCAGGTTAGCTTAAGCCTGGCTGGAAGTGGCTAGCAAGTCTCAGGACCTCCTGCTCCCCACTCGTCACTCCTGCAGCTATCTCTTGTGTTTTTTGAGTATTTTTTTTTTTGAGTGTTTTGACTTTTTTGAGTGTTTTGATTTGCATACCATGTGCCCCTCCTCATCATGCAGTTTACTCACAATCTTACCTGCTTTTAAAAACAGCTCAAATTCCACTTCAGTTCAATCTTTTAGTATTTATTCAGTTAGTGGCTCATTATTTGCTTTGGCTTGGTTGTGGGCTCTTAGGTTCTGAAGAGACTCAGCTAGTTCCAGCCTCAGGGAACCCACAACAGGAAACACTGTGTCAGAAGTGGCATAGGGACCTGAGGAAGTAGAGGCAGGGGATTGCCCGGCTTGGTTTGGGGTAATAGGCAGGCTTTGGGGGGAAGGGACAATGTTTGAGTTTAGAGTAAAGGAGGAGGAGGAAGAGTTGAAGAAGAGTCCCACAGCATGCTGCAGGCTGAAGCCCCTCTGTCTACCCCATGTCAGGCAGAAGTCCCACCTTTCTCTACTCTGGGCCAGCTCCACCATTTCCAGGGGATTATTTTAATTTCTGGACCCAACAAACTGTCTACAGGGTGATAAAGAAAATGAAGTTACCCCAAACTGGTCATATAGGGAACCAGTAGCTGAATTATAGATATTTAGACTAAAGTAGGAAGACTGAATTAAAGGAAACAGACTTTTGTAAAACACTGAGTTTTCAAGTACAACCAAAGCATAGAAGCTTCAGAAGGCAAGTTTTAGCTGAACTTGAGAAAGAACTCCGCTGGGGGATGGGGTTGTAGCTCAGTGGTAGAGCATTTGCCTAGCATGTGTGAGGCACTGGGTTTGATCCTCAGCATCACATATAAATAAACAAAATAAAGGTATGTGTCTATCTACAAAAAAAAAAAAAAAAAAAAAAAAAAAAGAAAGAAAAAACTCTACTGGACTTTCAGAGGGAACCAACTTGTCTTGGCAAATCAGTCCTGGAAACCAGAAAACACATCCACATTTGATAGTCAAATTGAAGGAAATGAGGAGCATTGGTTAAGATGGCTCTTTCCAGTGTGGATCCATTGCACCCCGTCTCCCATAATCCCTGCAGACTCTCATCACCTGCTGACTGAAGGCCAAGCTCCACAGCACAGTACAGGGCCTCTGCCACTGTCCAGTCGCATTCCTCTCCATGATCAGCCTCGTGTTCCAGAAGCAACACCAAGCCATTTGTTCTCTGAACGCACTTGCTGTTTCTGTGTTTAAAACACTCCCCACTTGCCTAGAGTTTACTTATTCTTTAAATATTCTTTGGCATTGCAGTGGGCGCTAGTGTCTTTTAGTCTACACCATAACTTCTGATTTGGGACATTAATTCTCCTGGTTTATCTTAATGGAAGGATACCTAGTGGCTCCTCTCTCTGCCATACAGAAGGGAGCTGGGGGAATCCAATTCTTCCCTTACCAGCCAGCAGGCAGGTGTGGGACTACATTCACCTTTTCTCAAGATAGGCCTTCTCTTGAAGACCTCTGAATTCAAACACATAAGGGGTAGATAAAGGTGATATATCTAGGGTTGTGGGGAGAGCGGGAATGGTGTCCTGAACAGTCCATGCAGGCAATGGTTGCTATCTCTTTTTTCTTACAATTCAGCCCTCTGGGGTGCCCTTTATTTCTACCCATTTCCAGGTTAATTAATACATATTTATAAAACATATTTATAAAATGAATAAAGCAGAGGGATGCAGGTCAAATCCTTAAATTAAAACAAATTACACATAATGTTGGACCACTTAATTATTAGACCCAAAGGTAAAGATAAGGAAATAAAGATAATAGAGGAGAATAATAAAATATAATGAGGAAGCGCTAGTTCAAGGAGGACAGGTGGTGAATAATAAATTTTTCATTATCATCCTCCCTCTAAAACTTCTTAATTTATACACCTACCAACTCCTCTCCTTTGGGAGTGATAACAATCCTATTAGGTTGATTTAGCCTATTTGTCTCTGTTTATGTGGGTCTCAAATCAATGACCTTGTCCTTACCTATAAAGAATGTTAAAGAACTTATCGATTTGCATGTATCCAGTGCAGGAGAAATCAAAGATGACCTAGAGGTTTCAAATCAGGAAGATGAGAAGCTCCTAAGGGACATTAGGAAAAAAACCATTGAGCCTGAGATTTCAGCAGGATGTATATTGTGGGTAAAGATGACCCAGTGGCAGCAAGAGGCCTCTGAACAGGTGGTGCTGCTCCTGAGCATTTCGTACCACGTGCAACTCTGCACATGCAGAATGAAGGACTTTTTGTCTGCAAGAGAAAACATGAGATGGGTTCATCCATTCAAAAAAATATTTATTGAGCACCTACTGGGTGCCAGGCAGTGGTCTAGTAAAAAAAAAAAAAAAACTACTCTCAGGAAGACAGATGATATGGTTCTCAGAGTCTTCAGTTAAGGTAGTGATAGAAGCACCTTGAGGAATACTACTGTCACTCCTCTTTCCTTTTGAGCTTGATCAGGGGTTCCTTTTGAGCTTGTTCAGAGGTGAGACAGACAGTGGAGATCAGAACCACAGACGTAACCACCCCTGGAGACTCATTCTCCACCACTATTGCATCCCACATCTATAGTTGCTACCTTGATGGATTTCCAAACCTTTAATTTTACTATGTTATTATGGAAGCTAATGCTAACATCAGGAAACAAACTAAGTCTGCTGAGGGAGAAAAATAAAAAGAAAACTGTAAGGACTCTAGCATTAGCTTTTACTTCTAGGACATCAGATCAGTCAATCAGGAAATATTTACTGAATGCTCACAGCCAGAATATTTAGACTCAATAGTAGATACCAGTGTATGTCATGCATAAATTTCAAGAACATTTTCAGTTTGAGTAGAACATTTTCAGTTTGTGTAGAACATTTTCAGTTTGTGAACTGCAAAGTATCTAAGATAATAAAAATTACATAGAAACTCATGCTTATGAAGAGACCTGTTTATTACTGATAACACTTTATTTGGCTAAAACCACAAGAAATCCACACACAAATACATAAAGTGCAAATTCTCATAGGCAGTATTTATAATACACCCTGGTATTTTGTTGGGGAAAATGAGATGTTGACAGAAATTGTTAAAATAAGGGCACAATTTTGAACTATTTCTACATACTTAGTCAGAAAAATAATTCATTCTTAACTGTACATATTTTACCTGGTATTTTCAATGATGTATACCACGAGTTTATTCTAACCTATAACAAGACCTCACCATACATAGATGCAGATTCTTGCCTGAGTGGCACACGATGAATCATAACGCTGGACAAATATATACCAAATAGTACCAAATTAGTCGTGACACATTTGGAAGGTAGTACTAATAGGCTCAAAATGGTGCTTTATTAGACTAGTGATATTAAGCCTAAAGAGATACATTCTGAGCCTTCCTGGTCAACACCTTGCTTTTGATGTAAAATGCTAACATTATATACAATTTCCACATAGAAAAATGCTCTGCTCTCTCAAAAGAAGCTGAGTATTTAAGGGTGTGCATTCTTAGTAAATATCACTTATTATAAAGTTCAGTAATGAGAGTCATTAAAAACTGAATTAGAAAGTCAAAATTTTAATTACTTTTTAAAACTATTCATGTCTTTAAAATAATATTGTTTAGTTACTGAACTTAGGTAGGTAGTGTGGATAGGAAAAGTGAGCCATGATTCTCACTCTTAGGGAGCTGACAGGTGGATGCTCCTTCTTCATCAAGGAATGCCAAGGAATTGAAGAGAACAAACAGGCCAACACCTCAGACTATCTTGTAAGGTTCAAATATAACATAAATGTTGCAGGTTAGTAAACTAGGGGTTAATATTTTAGGAGGTCAGCTTCTAAAGGGCAGGGAATATCCTAGATATGTTTTATGCTTATGTTTCTCACACTAGAGTCAATTGTGTACTGGGATATGCAGCAATTGGGCATGGGGGCAATGAGGGAGAAAATTGAGAGGCCATGTGATAAACACAATGCTCCTTTCTGGTAAACCAGTTTCATTCAAGATTGAAGATTTCACTTTTATATTAAATAGTTTTATTAGGAGAAGGCAAAATTAAAGCCAGAACACGAAATTTCATCATCAGTGGTAGGCTGCTTCCGATTTTGCTCTCAGGCCTCCTTCCCCTTCCTTCATGCTCCTCTGATTTAGGGTTCTGCTGGTGAAAAAAAACTGAGAAGCAAACTCTAGATATGTCCCTTTGCCCCATATATTGGCCACTTTATTCATTCTTGTAGGTTCTCTTCTTTAAGTACAAAGTCTTGACTTAACCAAGAGGAAAGATATCTTAGTGAATGTAATAGTATGTGAATATTTAAAAATAACCAATAATCAACATTAACTATGTTTCCAAATGGAACTAAAGTCATGCTTTGTAGAGTCAAACAATGAAACAGCCTCTTCTTTTTATTTAGACTTATGATTAATGGTAAAATGCTTTGAGAGACAAATGTAAGAAAGATTTCCTCAAATTGTGCACTTTGGCTGCCCAAAATACAAGGAAATCTCAAATGAAATTTTAGAATAAGTGCCCATTTTAATTAGAATGACTACTTCCTCATCAGTTTCTAGAGTAAGCTCAGAAAACAAGTGAATTGTAAAAAACTATAATAAATTAACATATAGTCGTATCCAGACAGACTAAAACAGGCTATGAAATAGATTTAAAATTACTTCTTATAAGAAATCTTAAATATTTTTATAATAGTAACAAAATTTTAAAAGTTCATAAACAGTTTATGAATAAGTTTAAAGCACTCTGAATGAAAACAGTTAAATTTCTTATCAGTGAGGTAATAGGGCGAAAGCTTTTCACAGTAACAAAATGTAGACGAGTGTGTGTGGCAAAAGAGGGAGGTAGAGAGAAAAAGGCATAAAATTAAATGTATCCAAGAGAAATTTGGATTTTTCAAGCATTACAAACACCAGTGGAATACAACTTAAAACAACAACAACAATATCAGCAGTTCATAGAACAATTTCCCCATCATCCTCCAGCTAATATTCTGTTGCATCAATTTCAGAAGCATCCTGCTTAAGAAATGGAAGATCTATTCTCTAAATGTTCAATCTCTCAGATCCTCTCTGTGGAAGTTTGTACATCTAAATATCAATATTTTATATTTAAAGCAAAACCCTCAAATACCCTATAACACTATACATTCTTCAAGATGAACACACTTGTGTTCAAGTCTCAATTGATTTTCGAGGTCAAATTAAAAATAACATCCAAGCAGGTCTTTATTCATTTCATTCACGCATATCCTATTTAAAACACACAAAAAATGTCTTTTGAGCTAAAGCTGTCTAGATGTGGAGTGAAACCCAAATGATACTGTTAGTGTTCTTTACAACATGATTTTTGTTCCAACCTGAATTTGAAAAAAAATGTGCTGGAAGGAAGGAACCTTCAAAAGTCATTTAGTATCCCTTAATATTTTTTAAAAACTATTTCCTTAAAAGAATAGATTTTTATGACAATCTCTGCCAAAGTTCTTAAACATTTCCTGCTGCCTATTTTTTTTTAATCCCAAATTCCCTCTGGTCTATCCTCACTAGAGAAGGAAAATGGTATAGCAATAGTACTTCTTATTTTGAGTCCTTCAATAAAAACATTGATTAATGATTAATAACTTAGTGTAAATGATCTCAATGGCTTACTTTTCTCTAGAGTTAAATGAACCTAAATTCTTGAACTTTTTCTTGGAAGTATTATTTGTATAAAAATTAAATGTATCCAGGCAGAATTTGAATTTTTTCTGTAGTTTATTCTTTTTTATTTTTGCTCTGTCTCCTCCCAAGTTCTCCCATGATTCTGATACAATACCTAGCAGGAACTGATTCCATAATAGGGATACTTTTTCTCAGCTCCCAAAACTTGAATAATAAAACTAAACAATAGGTTCACTGCCTGCTCATCATAACAACAAATAAACACAAGTAAACAACCTTATACACACTTTATTTTCTACTTTTATGGTGTTAGGTTTGTCTTTCACATAAGAAGTATTTTATGTGCTGTCTTATTGCCCTTTATATTGTTTAATTTTTATTTCTAATTTATGCTTTGATCTTGTCCTACTTCTTTTCTTTTCCCCAAAGCTTCAGAAAATACCAGTTTTGATTTATGTGCAGAATGAGAATATACGTATTTCCACAATATTTAAAAAAAAAAAATGGCCCAAGGCTGAGACCCCAGGCCTGCATTTCTGTCTCTTGGGAGGTCTCTGAATGCAAGGTGAACAATGTCACATTCATGTTAATATCATGCTCAGACAGACTCAAGAGTGTGGACAGAATCAGATAGTTCCTTAGATCTATATAATTCAGGAAACTTTATAAAATTTTGTTAATTTTAACTTTAGATTTAGAATTTTGAGATGAGAATCCAAGCTTCAATGACTTTTCACCTTAAGATGACTTACATGTTACTTTATATTAAAGCAAGAAAATGAAACTATTTTCTTCATAAAAGGACAATCATGACATGGCTTTAGTAGTTCTGAATGGGTTGTTGTATCGCTTTAAATTCATTTCAAATATTTTATGACAATCTCTAAAACACAGATACCAAAACCAAATATACATGTTTTTCATATATATATATAACATTGTTCATACTTTGTAGAATATATGCCATTTCCTAAGTTACAGTCTACATTACTAAAAGCCAATAAAACAAAAAATGTTTTAAACATTTTTAAATAAAAATTCTACACAAACTCATTCATAAAATGGTGCTCTACATATAGTTACCTGTCTATTACCTGGAGTCATACAAGATCCAGCTATAAGAAAGCAAGGAAGGAACAAATTAACAATAGTGGCAATACAATAATTTAAAGTCATGTTTGGATTATATCAGCTCAAAAGTTAGTTTATAGCTGTAACAAACCAAACCATGACATTCTAATCACTTCAAACTTTATATCTTTGTCATTATTATGTTTAGGAAATAATTTCTCTAATATCAGTGCTATCTCCCATAGTCAACCTGTTTAGGTGATTACACCCAAGGCCTTGTTATTCTTACCTCCTAATTATGCCATTTGTATTCTGCAAACTGTACAAGAGAAAATACATCTTAAGAATATTAAACTATTTCTGCACTGAATCTTTTTAGAAGATTGTAGAATCAACCAAAAATGACTTTCCTAAACAACTGTTTTCCATATTAAAAAAGATAAATACTCCTCATGTAATCAAAAATTCCCTAGAAGTCAGCATCATGTTAGTTTTAAACAGTAATTTTAGGGTTTCATTAATACTTAAAATCTGGGTGCTTTATTTTTTAGTAAAATTAACATTATTTCATCAGCTAAAGAATAAATTTACTTACAAACAGGTGATTCAAATGTTGGACTGTCAAACTGAGAGCTCATTTATAGTTCCCCTTTTTTTCCTTTACCTAAAGATTAAGATAACTTATGTAATTCTAACTTGAAAACTCTTGACTATAGTTATATTAAGCCTTCTTTTATTAAGACCTTCTCTGATAGGGCTGGGAGTATAGCTAAATTGGCAGATTGTTTGCCTTGCATGCACAAGGCCCTGGGTTCTATCCCTAGCACCTCCCTAACCACCAACACCAAAAAAAAAAAAAAAAAAAAAAGACCATCTTTGACAATCATAGGATTTTTGAAATCAACAAACCCATTTGATATAGAGGAAGCACCCATAAAGTTTGGAAGATTTTTTTCTTAACTATCTGAAAATTGACTGATAAAATGATATTCAATGCAGGAACATTGTTTGAGTTCATACCACTCTCTTGAGAAGGCACTGAGAAATTTGACAAGAACAAAGCCACTAGGAGTGTTGCCACTACTGTTCTATGTTTAGTAAACATCAAAGTTTTTAATACATACAGTAAATTTACACTGCACCAAAAGGGCACCTGAAGCAGAGGTGCAAACCCACATATCTTAATATCTGTCCTAAACTAGAAGTACTAAATACTCTATTTCAAATACTCTAATTTGTAAGTTAATACTCATGATACAACAATGATGCTTTTCCATAATGCTCCAGGAAGAGTATTATTTTCTTGTCAATTTTAGTAATTAATAACCTTAGCTACCAGTGTAATTACATAACATTTATATATTTACCCCATTTTTTAAACCATGCTATACACAGTTACAAGATACAGAACTAAGCTTAATCACACTACAATAAGAAAACTCACTTTTATATTGTTATGTTTTGCTTTAAAATCAGTACAATATTAGTTTTAAACAGTAATGATATATCACTATAATATTTTAACGTTATGATTTTCATTCAAGATTATGAAAAACTTGAATTTCATTTCCCTCCAGACATTTTACTTTCAAATTGATACTTTTCATTTAGTCAGCAGAACAAATGAAAAAGAAAAGAAGAAAAAAAAAAAAAGAAAAAAGATATTTGGCCAGATGAGAAAGAGAAGGCTGACACGAGGTTCAACACATGGAGTCTTGGGTTGTCTGTTCCATATGCCAGTGCAAAGTCATGACATGCCGAGGTGCCCTACACAGAACGCCAGATCAGTCCGTTCTTACTAGGCTCAAGAAAATTCTTTATTAGAGCTTCAATGAGTTTCTTCAATTCTTCTTCTAGCAACGCAGTATCACTAAGAAAAAAAGATTGAGTTTTGAAATTCTCTATTTAATGGATTTAAAGTTTGTTTTAATTATTTTTTACTTTGGAGAGGGCATATATCTGATGTAATGATTAAATAATTGATAAACAAAAGAGAAATTTGCTCAATTAAAACTACCCCCTCAAATAAAATAACACACAAAGAAAACAACATGATCATAAACTGAAATTGAACTTCATTAATAGTAATTCCTTGGCACATGATAAAGAATGAATTACAGTATGTCTAAATGATTCTCTTGGGTCAGGCAATTTAACAACTTTAAACATCAATACAAAGTATTATAATAGAATGGCTTCCTGAAATGCTTTGAAGGAGACTCAGCTAAGGTGTTGTGGGATAATATGACTATCCTTCAGGTTGTTGGTAGCAGAAGAATGAGGTGTTTTAAAAAACAGGTACACAAACTTACAAGTAAGCCCTTCAAAATTGTCACTGAGGAGCCTCTTTCAAACAGCCTTCACAGTCATCTTATCAGCTATACAATAAATTAGCTATTACTTTGATATCCACTCTTTGTTTTTAACCAAATATAGCATTACCTGATTTGGTTAACGTTAAATACTTCTCTGAATGACTTTAGGAGGTCTTTTTTCTCCCCCAATGGAAATAAAATCTTAAGGCAAAGATGTAGGAAAATACAAAATAATGTGCCCTGGTTGGGTTCTGAAGGCTATTTCAAAAAATACATTGGTCATTAATAACAAAGTTAATACTATTTTCAATAAATTTAAATAGTCTTTGGTTTATTAGACATGTTAACAATTTGTGACATAGTCATAATTTGTACCCTTAGAAAGAAATGAACTAGGCAGATTGTGTCAAACCAAATTGGACACAGAAAACAAATATTTGGCAACAAACACATTATTTATTGATCATTTCTTTAGGCCCATTACATAAAAATTAAAGCTTAGAAAATCTTCTCAAGAATAGAAATTTACTATGACTTTGAAATTCAGTTCTGCAAAATACAGCTTCTTTGGGAAACAGTTCCTCAAAAGGTTAAACATAGAGTATATGACCCAACAATTTCAATCCTACATATATATCCAAGAGAAATGAAAACATATATCCACACACAAATAGCTGTTCACAACTGTTCATAGCCATACTATTCATAATAAGCAAAAATGTAAATAATTTGAATATCCACTGATGAATGGATTAAAAATGTGGAATATCCACAGAATGGATTATTCGGGGTGAAAATAATACATTTTTTAAAAAAGTGAATAAAGTACTAACTCATGTTATTAACACTGATAAACCTGGAAAAACATGCTAAGATGCCAGTCACAAAGGACCACATGTTATATGATTTCATTCATATGAAATGTCTAGAATATGCAGATCTACTGGGAAAGACAGTAGACTAGTGGCTTCTTAGGGCTGTGAGGGAGGGAAATGGGAATTGATTTCTACTGAATATGGGGCTTCTTTTTGGGGTGATTCTAAAATTGATAGTAGTGATAGCCACACAAACTCTGCATATGTTAAAATACAATGAATCATACATTTTAAGTGGATGATCTTATGGTATGTGAATTATATCTCAAAAAAGCTTTTAAATATGTATCTAATAAATCAATTCTCACCTCTGGTCAGGTGAAGCACACATCTCTGCATAATACTTTATTTTTGGTTCTGTCCCGCTTGTCCGAAGAGTAGCAACACATCCATTTTGAAAAGTAAAAGTAATCATTTGACTGTTTTTACTCACAGGCAGCACCTATGCAAGATTGCAACAACAGCTTAATTACATCTGGTATCTAATTCATTTTTCAAGAATTATAAAATACATTCCAGTTATATGAGGCATCTAAACTAGTCTAATTCATAGAAACAGAAAGTAGAATGTTGGTTGTGAGGGGCTGGGGGAATAAAGACTGGGAGTTGTTTAATGGGTTTCAGTTTAGCAAGGTAAAAAGGTTCTGGAGATCTGTGGCACAACAATATGAATATACTTAAGATAATTTAACTGTACCCTTAACTATAGTTAAGGCAGTAAATCTTTTGTGTTTTTTTAAAAAATATTTTTTAGTTGTCAATGGACCTTTATTTTATTTATTTATATGCAGTGTTAAGAATCAAAGCCAGTGCCTCACATGTTAGGTAAGCACTCTACCACTGAGCTACATCCCCAGCCCCAACTTCTATGTTTTTTAACCACAATTATAAAACTTTTAAAATTAAAGGAATGAAAATACAAAAGATTACCATAATAATTCATAAGCATATTAACTGAACCCTTATAATAATCCAGGCATTGGTTTATATACTTTACATACATGATCTCCAGGCTTCAACAATAATCCTGTAAAGTCAATATAATTGTCATTTTATGGACAAGGCTCAATGAGAGTAAACAATCTGCTCAACTAGCAAAGTGGTAGAACAAAAAGTGGAAGCTGTATCTGTTCCAAAGCACCTCTGCATTTTCAAAGCATGATGACAGTTAATCTATGGCCTCCAAAGATAAATATACATTATCCTAGAGGATATGCAAAAGAATGTACTAGGTACTGACAAAAACTGTATTTTTAAAAAAGAAATGAAGTTTTACTGACATTGAATATATGAATTAATGCTGGTACTCTTTCTCATTCACACATTAACCTGCTGAAGTATCTCAAGGGGACTGTGCTGTTGTCCTACAACAGAAGGGTTGCCAATGCTACTTCTCCTCAGGGCTTCAAGTGCTGCCCTGGCCCAAAGAACCCTCTCTCCATCAATGCATTATGCTATGCCAGAGGCTTAAAACAGATCTTTTGCTCCTCTTTTTCACTCAAGTCCTGTTTATAATATCCTTCATTCAATTCACCTTTTCAATTCTCTCCATTACCATTGTTACTATATTAAATTCTGGCCACTAACATCACTCACTTAGACTGCTGAAACAGCTTAGTAACTGATCTGTCTGCCTGGAATTCTGCCCTGGTAACCCACTCACCAGGCCACTCTTGCTCTCAGCCTACACTCCAGTTACAGATAACTACTTGTGGTTTTCTGGAGGACATGCCTTCTTGCTGTCAGATCTTGCACTTACTGCTTCCTTTGTTTGAAACAGGCTCTACACCTCCTGTATCTGGGTAACACCTAATTATACTTGAGAACTCAGTAGAGTCTCAGTAAGAGGTCTTTTCTATGCTCTTCCATCCAACAGAATGCTCTCAACTTCCATCTGCTGAGCTAAAGCCCCTCTATACTCATTTCTTAAGTGCAAGCATGCCTTTGCTATCACTGTATCTCTAGTGTACCTTTGGCTGCAGCACAGAATGATTTTGATAAATGAATGTACAGATGAATGTCAATTTAAAATGTGAAGAGAGAATTCAGGACACTTACCAAGAATCTTGGGGATAACAACATCTATGCTACCTATCCTACAAAGCTCTGAGTGTCAGAGCAGAAGAGATGAAGTACCTTAAATAGTTTAAATAAATTTAAACTTTAAAGACAGGCAAGAGGAAAAAACCATCACAGCAAATACTAAGCATAAAAACATTAGAGAAATAAAAAGAAGTCAAAGATTTTATTCAGTTAATTTACAAGGACAGAAATACACATGAGCTGGGGTTGTGGCTCAGTGGTAGAGCACTTGCCAAGCATGTGTGAGGCACTGGGTTTGATTCTCAGCATTGCATATAAATAAATAAAATAAAGTCCATTGACAGCTAAAAAATATATAAAAAAGAGAAATACACACACACACACAAAGACACACACATGCCTGTGCACATACTCAGAATATTGACAACTAGGAACCAATATTTGTTGACTGGATGAATCTGCAAAAAATGGAATATGGATAGTGTTTTTTTCCCACAGTTTTTATTGGCTTATTATAACTATACATAATAGTGGGATTCATTGTTACATATCCATACATGTGCACAATATAACAATATAATTTGGTAAATATACTTCTTAAGTATTTTACTTTCCCCTCCTCTCTTCCATCTCCCCAGTCCTCTTCTTCTACTCTACCTGTCTCCCTTAGATTTTCATGACTCTTCCCCAACCTTTCTTTTCCTCTTTCCTCTCCAGTTTTAATAGATGAGAGAAAACATATGATTTCTGACTTTATGAGTCTGGTTTATTTAACTTAACAGAATGCTCTCAAGTTCCATCCATTTTCCTGAAAATGCTATAATTTCATTCTTCTTTATGGATGAATAAAATTCCATTGTGTATACATACCACATTTTCTTTATCCACTCATCCACTGATGAACATCTAGGCTAGTTCCATAGTTTGGCTATTCTGAATTGTGCTACTAAAAACATACTTTACCATAAGAGCAGAAGAGTTTAAAAGCACCTCAAATAATAAAATCATAAATTTAAAGACAGGAAAGAGAAAAAAAAATCATACCAAAGACTATAGAAACATTAGAGAAAAGAAAAGTCAAGATTTTATTCAGTTAATATACAAGGACAAACATACACACGCATACACAGAATACTATTGCTGTAGGATGCCGACTTTAGGAAAGACACTGAAGAGTAATTTAGCTGGGTTATATGGTTATTCCATTTCTAGTCTTTTGAGGAAGCTCCATAATGATTTCCATTGATTGTAAATTATTACAATCTCACCAATAGAGTAAAAGTGTTCCTTTTCCCCTAGATCCTCTCCAGCATTTATAATTGTTTATATTCTGTCATTCTAACTGGAATGAGATGAAATCTCAGTGTAGTGTTGATCTGCATTTTCCTAATTGCTAAAGATGTTGAACAATTTTTAATATATTTGGCAGAAACTTTTTAATCTGATGTCATCCTGTTTATTAATTCTTGGTATTATTTTTCTGAGCTTAAGAGGTTCTATTGAAGAAGTCCTTGCCTGAACCTATATGTTGGGAGTGTAGACCCCAATTTTCTTCTAGGAGTTGCAGAGTTTCTGGTCTCATTCCTAGGACTTTGATTCATTTTAAGTTGACTCTTGTGCAGGTCAAGAGGCAGGGATTTAGCCTCATTTTTCTATCGATGGAGAAACCAATTTTCCCAGAACCATTTGTTAAATAGGCTATCTTTTCTCCAACATGCCTTTGTAAAGGAACAGATAACTACATCTGTGTGGGTTTGTCTCGGTGTCATCTATTCTGTACCACTGGTCTATGGGTCTATTTTTATGCCAGTACCATGCAGTTTTTGTTACAATAGCTCTGTAGATTAATTTGAAGTCAGGTATTGTGATGCCTCTAGCATTGCATTTGTTTTGCTTAGATTTGCTTTAGATGTTCTGGGTCTTTTTTTAAAAAAATTATTTAGTTGTAGGTGGATATAATATCTTTATTTATTCATTTTTATGTGGTGCTGAAGATTGAACCCAGTGCCTCACACATGCAAGGCAGGTGCTCTACCACTGAGCTACTGCCCCAGCCTGGATCTTTTATTGTTCTAAAATGAATTTTAGGACTAGTTCTGTGAAGAATGTCATTGGTATTTTGATGGGAATTGCATTAAATCTGTATATTGCTTTTGGTATATATGCTCATTTTAACAATATTAATTCTGCCTATCTATAAGGAATATGAGTATTATCCTATGTAATAAGCTGCAAATTTCCCAAAATACATTATGTCCCCAGAATCTTCTGACAACATTAGAGCATTACAAATGGAAATTTAAGCTAATAATCATCCTAAAAATAACAACAAAATGAATATGATCAGCAATCTCTTGTATGTAAGTATTTGTTTGAGCACCTATCCCACAGGCAGGAGCTTTGAAAGGCATAAAGGTCCTTCAGAAATGGACCTGCCATGCACAACACAATGGTAACATAAATAGAAAAAAAAATGACACACATCATGTGGAGGAAGGTATATGATTGTGGGACCTGGAGGTCATATTTTCCTTAAATCTTAAATAATGGCAAGGTATGAACCTGTAGCAGAGGAAGAAAAGGTAAACTAAGGAAACAAACTTGATCAAAAATACAGAAATTATAGAAAAAAAAGATAAAAATATAATTTAACAAAGAAAAAAGAAATACATAAATTGTATATATTTGAAATTATAACTTATTCTATTTGGCTAGAGATACCAGAAGTAAAGTTAAAAAGAGAACTTGAAACTAGAAAGATAGTCCGACATGGTGGGGTATACTTTTAATCCTAGTAACTCAGGAGGCTGAGACAGGAGAATCATGAGTTCAAAGCCAGCTTCAGCAATTTAGCAAGGCCTTAAGCAACTTAGACTAAAAAGGGCTGGCAATGTGGTTCAGTGGTCAAAGGGTCCTTGATTAATATCCCCTGTACTCCCCCCACCCAAAGTAGAAATAATTTTTTCTTTTTTCAAAGAAAAAGAAAAAAAGAAGTAGAAGAAAAGTAGTACAAACACTTTGTAATTCTTGGATTTTAGAAAGACTTTATTTTCAACACTGTTTTAGTGTCATTGTACATTCTCTTTTTCTCTCTTTGTCTCTACCCTCCTCTTTCTATCCTCATACTCTTTTCCCTAAGGTATTCCAGATGATTACCTGGGGACTGATGAGGGATCTTTGGTCACTTAAAACTACTCTAGGGATGGGTCCTATTCCCAAGAACTCACAGGCCTGAATTTCTACTATTTTTAGTATAGTATGAATTATATATGTATTTTTAATAATTTAAAACAGGTATTTTCAGGAGTTTCCAGGCTGGTGAGCACATGGACCTTCTGGGAGGGTGATATACCTAAAAAGGGCATGAGATCCTACTTCATACTCACCTTGCCCTATGCATCTCTTCTGTCTTGGTGTTCCTAAACTGTTTCCTTTATAATAAATTAGGAAACATGAGGAAACAGGATTGAGCCTCATGTAAAACCCATCTCTGGACTTTTTGGTGATATGAGCCATTAAGTTTTTGTCAATGTTATAAATAAAAATAAGTACTTACTGATTTTTTATTAGGCTGGCTGCTGTCATATCCAGTGGTAACATCCCGTATGTGCAATATAGCAAATGTTCCACAAAATTTTGGATATTCTTTTGGAGAATCAAAATTGCGAAGCCTTTCAAATATACTTTTGATGGTAGGTGGATCATAACACAAGAAATATGAAGTTTTTGACATGTGATAACCATATCTGTACAAAGATTTAAAGTATTAAAATCAGATTTCCGATAACTTTAGAAATGTCACATTAAATAAAGACAAGCCTATTAGAATATTTTGTAGAATTTTAATGCTTTTTATAAAAGGATGCTGACTGTTCTTCAAAAACAAATTTAGCAGCCAGGCATGGTGGTGTGTGTGCCTATAATCCCGGTGGCTCAGGAGGCTGCAGCCGAAGGGTTGTGAATTCAAAAGACAGCCTCAGTAATTTATTGAGGCCATAAGCAACTTAGTGAGACCCTGTCTTAAAAGAAAATATTAAAAGAAAGGTGGGGAAGAGGACGTGGCCAGTGGTTAAGTGCCCCTGGGTTTAATCCCCAGAACCAAAAACCAAATCAAAACAAAAACAAATTTAGAAAACTATGGATAGGACAAAAAAAATGAACGAAAGATCTAGCACATGAACTTACTTTTCATAAACCTTAATCAGTTGCTCCATCAATGTTATATTCATGGTTTCCAGGTAAGACGCCATCTCAGCAACAACAACGGCTGCACTTACCCCATCTTTATCCAAAACCGAAGTTCCACACAGAAAACCTGGGGATTCAAAACCATCTTTAGAAAAGGGGAAAACTTAAACCCATAGTTTCATATTTCTTCAGAAGAACCAGTGACTTTAAGAGCTTAGAAACAGATGAAACCCATCAATACTGAATGTATTCAGAAGACCTTTATGATCTTTTTGTTTTCCTGATGAGACATGCATTTACATATTTCTGAGTTCTCTGCAGTTTTCACAACTTAAAATATAAAGCCAGATGGTAAAAATTCCTCTCCACAGAATTAAAAAAATTAAAAAAATGTTTTCAATCAAACTTCAAAGATTTAAATATTTACTACATACCAATAGACTCTTCAAATGCAAAAAGGACTTCTTTCCCATTTTCCAGGAGATCTTTGATCCTACTTCCAATCCATTTAAAACCTGGTAATGTTTCCTGAAATGCAGAAGAAGGTACTCTAGTTAAACACAGAGAAAAATCTATCAATAAATGCACATAATTCCTGAGTAGTGGTCTTCTACTAGGCTTTTTAATCCACAATGATTTACACAGTGGTAGACATATAGTCATAAAGGGCCATAAACACACATACTACCACTACTGGTGGTCTACTATTGATACAGTACTAGATGATTTATATCAAATATATTCCATATTTATATGTGGGACAATAAAGTTACAAAGTAACATAAGTCTATACCTATATTATTATCTAAAACATAGGTACTATATTTACTTGTTAAGTACTATTAGTACTATTTACTAAATACTATAATAGGTACTTAATAGCACTATAGTAGCATGATCTTTTTTTAAAAATTTTTTATCTGTTTATTTATTTTTATGTGTTGCTGAGGATCAAACCCAGTGCCTCGAACATACCAGGTGAGTGCTCTACCGCTGAGCCCCAGTCCCAGCCTCAGCCCCAAAGCATGATCTTTTCTAATGTTCATAAACACTGTTGCCAGAAGAGAGGCTCAGAGATTAAGTAAATTTGCCTAAGATTCAGCATATACAAAATGGAGGCAGGTGTCAATTACACTGCTTCCCAACAACTGTCCTGTAAGCCATACTACAGTCACTAACATAAGAGAGCCTGTGAAGGTTTTGATTTAGTCTCCCCAAATAATACATTATCACAACCTATGCTTGAAACAAGTACACCTTTCCACAACACTGTGACCTAAACAAAACCTCCAAGACAGTCACCAAGTCATTCATTAATAATTATATTCGGGAGAACTTTCATCTGATGAGCTTTAAAGACATGCTGTGTTCTAGAGTCAACATATGCACACTAATTCTGGGGTTCATCATTACTAACTTAAATTTCCTAAATCACTTTTCTACCTTCACCAAAAATAAAAATTCTGGCAATCCCCTCAAACCAAAACAAATTTATAATACTGATATTTAGAATCATGTTCTTTTCTTTCTTTTGTGCATTTACTTTTCTTGCTATAAACAAGAAAACTATTGAAATTCAGAATTTTAGGCTTGAATAAAACTATTGAAATTCAGAATTTTAGGCTTGAATAAATTTTCAGTATCTTTTGCTTTTAGTGTTTTTTGAAAGTCTAAGATTAAAAGCTGTATTTCATAAAAACAAGTACAATTTTCTTTTACTCAGTCAATTATTACTGAGACTTGTTGCTTGAGTGTGACTCAAGGAAAATGCCTCGGGGGTAACACTTAGTTACTGACACCAGGCAAAGATGGTAGAGGAAAAGCAATAAAGCTGGTACAAAACTGTTCTACTTAACTGTTTGCTGTTCACAAACATTAATGATCTGGTTGATACAAAGTCATTCTTCTTCTTATTATTATTATTATGTAGAACCAATGGATTTTTGTTTGCAAGGTTGAAGTCTACTTAAAAGTTTATTAATACTGTGCTTGAAGAATTTAAACAAAGGATTGATGGCATTTACAAGCTTTTGGAGTGAAGTCTGTGTTGTGATGAGGTCACTAGATTTTCCATCTGCAAACCAGATGTTGTATAAAATAATATGTGATAACGTAATTTTTGGAGAAAATCTTGTCTCAGTTAAAAATTCACATACTCGATGAATTTGTCTCTGGGTGTCTAAGTTATAAAAAATATTAAGCAAGTATCAGAAATTTTAAAAAAAATAAAGAGATTATAAATGAATTAATGAAAAGTCAGTTTTGGTGGGGTGCCTTTAGCATATACAGGAATATATTTAGAAAAGTAGCACACAGATATTATTTATTACTTCAAAATGAAATCCTTCTTCAAGTGCAATTGCCTTCAAAATTTTAGAAGAGACAGTAGTGGCTAACATATAAACATTCTTCACATCAGCATTTCTTGGTTTATTTTTCTTCCAGCAATCAAACATCCACCATCCAAATAATGCTGCCAGCTCATTTCCTGTGAAGACTTTCCAACGACCACTGTAGAGAGAAAATTCCAAGTCAAGACCTTTCCAGCTTCTCATTAAAATGTCTTTTGACTCTAAGACCTACAAATTATCACCCTTCAGACAGGAAAATCCTACAGCTATGAGACTTTTAAAAAAATTTATTCTTTTTTATTTATTTATAACACAAGGATACACTCTGACATTATCACAAAAGCATGGAACACAACCTGCTCCAATTCAGTTTTATAATATGGGACTTTTGAGAAAATATTTACTACTACTTCTTTTATAATTGACCTGGGATCTTTAGGGTAGGGATAGTTATAACCAATCAATCTTTCTCTCTTTCCCCTATCTTACTTTTTATACTGAGGATTAAAACCAGGGGTACTCTACCACTGAGCTATATTCCCAATCCTTTTTTTTAATTGTTTTTTTTTTGAAGTTGTAGTTGGACACAGTACCTTTATTTTTTTAAATTTATTTTTATGTGGTGCCGGGGATTGAACCCAGCACCTTGCACATGCTAGATGAGCACTCTACAGCTGAGCCCCAACCCCAACCCCCCCTTTTTATTTTTTATTTTGAGACAGGATTATTTTGCTAAGTTGCTGAGGCTCAACTTGAATTTGTGATCCTCCTGCCTCAGCTTTCTGAGTTGCTGGGATTACAGACATATGCCACTACTCCAGGCTGCAGTGTCTTTTGGAAGATTATTACAAGGCTAATTTTATTCTTTTACTTAATGAGAAAAAATTGTGAAGACATGTCATATCAAAATGGTGAAAATATCCAGCAATCCAGAGGACCAGGATTAGGAAATGATTATATTGATAAAGCAATCTGTTGAAATATGCTGTGGTTAAAATTAATATTTTCAAACAATTATATAAGAATGAGAGAAATTCTCATAGCATAATTGGTATAGAAAATAATTAAGATATAAAGCTACATATAGTATGATCATAATTTCACAATTTTATATGAACAAATACATCTTTATTTGAGTAGAAAAAAAGGAAATGTTGAAATATTGATTTAGGTAGTTATATGGATGGTGTAGTTATATAAGATTTATTTTCTTTCCTATTTTCAATGAACCTGTGAGACTTAATTTTTTGTTGTTGTTGTTGTTTTTAAAAATTACTTTTCAAAGCTCAAGCTTTTTGTGTGTGTGTGATGCTGGGGTTGAAATCAGGGCCTCACGTATGCTAGTCAAGCCCTCCACAATGGTCAAAACCATTGTGTTTTATAGTCTCGACCCCTCATAGCTCAAGCTTTAAATCAATTAATAGATTCTACTTACTTCTCCTGAAGTTCTGCCACTGCCAGTCGGTCTGCATCAGGATCTGTGGCTAGCACTATCCGGGCATTTTCTCTTTCTGCCAGTCTCAGAGAAAGTTCCTGAAACAGTAACCCAAAAAGTTAGATTGTATTGAAGAATCTAAATCAATGCTAATATTCCTAAATGTAGGCACTATGTTAGTGATATGAATTTTAGAAGGCATACAATTTGGTTAAGTTTAAAATAAGTAGCCTAGAAATAGTAGAGATTTCAAACAAAACACAATTTTTTTTTAATATTTATTATTTTTTTTTAGTTCTCGGCGGACACAACAACTTTGTTGGTATGTAGTGCTGAGGATCGAACCCGGGCCGCACGCATACCAGGCAAGCGCGCTACCGCTTGAGCCACATCCCCAGCCCCCAAACACAATTATACTCCAGTGTAATTTAAATGATATAAACTACAATGGTTTCTGCTTTTGTAAGTAATCTCTAAATTGTCAATAAGTTCTATTTATTCTTATGGTTTAATAAACTAATAATAATTTAAATATTAGAAAAATACCAGTACAGATTCTCCTTCTTCAGGATTTGGGCATTTAACAGTAGAAAAGTCTGGATCGGGATCTTTTTGTTCTGGTACTGGAATTGGAGGCTTAAAACCAAACACTTGAAATGCCAACTGCACATAGTCATGTCCGACACCATGAAAGGATGTATGCACAAATTTCAATGTGGTCTTTGAGTTTAATTCCCTGTAAGGTAAAAATCACCAATCAATATCATAAAACTTGCCACCTATGATGTAATTCAAAACCCTTAAATTTGAGAAAAAGTGAATAAAGCCTTCAGCAGAGCTGTAAGATATATTTTTAAATATTTTTAGTTATAGTTGGACACAATATCTTTATTTTTTTATGTGATGCTGAGAATTGAACCCAGTGCCTCACTAGGCAAGCACTCTACCACTGAGCCACAAACCCAGCCCTGTAAGAATTTTTTTAAAACTATGTGGTATTAAAGTAAATTTCAGAAGATTTTTAATTCAACTACATTCTCCCTTTGTGGTTCAACTTCCTAACCTGGATTGCTTCTTTCCATATGCTATACCAGTATCCTATCCCAAGCCGCTATATATCTCTTGCCAGATCCACCACAAGAACTTCCTAACTGGCCTTTCTTATTCTCTGCAGACTCCTTCTTTTTTTCTTTCAGTCCAGCTTAAATTCCAAGGTATCTAATTTCAATTACCTTCTTTTATTTTCACATTGGATACCCTGATCCTCTAATACCTTACCCTGTGTTGAACCCAACAATGTACCTTTTTCCAGACTTGTACCAAAATAGCACAATACTGCTAGAGTAAATCTCACAAAAGGGTTAAGAGCTTCACTTTCAAAGGGCATTCAGCCCTGTCAGGCAATTTTACTTTGTAACTCAAAAAGCTTACTATTTTCTCTCTAAAACGGTGTGTAAAATCTTTTCTTCTCTCCTATTCCTTTCTTCTCCCTTTACCTAATGCAAACATCAGAAGCCATCTGATGAGAACTTCCTAATCTTTCTACATCTAATCCACAATCTAACAGCATCCATACATATCTTTTCCTTCTTCTGACAACAGAGTGTTTTCCTTCTCTCAAAGGTCAGTGCTCCACTTTGGCTCTGGTTCCCATCTCTTCTCACTCAAGAACTTTATTACTCTAGTCACTCCCTCCCTCCTGCATTATTCCCATTAACATCCAGTCACAGTTTCTTTGGTTCTTCTATAGCAAAACTTTCTACATTCTTACCGACTACTTATTAACCACTCTCTGTAATAAATAAAATTATTAAAGTAAAATAAAAATTTCAAAATATACATAAGAAGAATGCCTACTATTAATATACTTATCATCTCAATTCAACATTTATCAACATTCTGTCAACTTAGTTGCATTTATGCAAGACATCAAATTACTTTACAAATGCTTTAGAATTTAAAAACATAACCATAATGCCATTATTACACCCAATAAAATCCACAATTTTTTTTTTTTGTCATACTGGGGATTGAATCTAGGGACTTCTGCATACTAGGCAAGCACTCTACCAACTAAGCTATATCACCAGGCTCCCTAATCTACAATAATTTCTTAATATTATTCAATACCCTACCTGTGCTCAAATTTTCCCCAAATGTCTCAAAAATACAATTGGTTTACTTGAATCCAGACCTGAATAAGGTCCACACCATCTGTCTCTCAAATCTCTTGTTATCTAGACATGTTCTTTTTTTCTTCTCCAGTCCCCATGCCATTTATTGAAGAAACTAAATCATTTGTTCTGGAGAATTTCCTACATCTTGGGTATGCATATTTCATCCTTTATGTATTAGCATGTTCCACAAACCTTCTTTTTCTGTAAATAGGTAGGTGAATCTAAAGGCAACATTATAGATTATAGATTCAATTTCAAATCTTTAGGCAAGAACAAATGTTGAATCTTGAGGGGAGGCACATGATGTCAATCTTACTTTTAATAGTATTGATTCTTCAGGATTTTGTCATCTTGATCCATCCATCAAAAATTTCCCAATAACTTTTACCTATAAGTCTTAGTAGCCCTTGATGATCATCACTTTTATTAGTGGTAATAAAATAGTGATATTTTAATTTCTTTTACTCCTTCACAATTAATAGTTGGATTTTTCTTTTAAAATATTTATCCTTCAGCAATTATTTAATTAACCCTGAAAGTCAGTTCATATAGGAAAGACAAAAGAAAATATCTAAGCATTTATCAGTTTGCTGAATGAAAATTCAGAATTTATAAAATTTCAGAATGAGTAATTTCAAATCTAGCAACTCTCAAAGGTGATCTGTGAAATGTTTGCGTGGTGTTATTACCAGCCAACAACCTTTTATGTTTAATATCTTAGTTAATTACAATGATTCTTCTTTTTTTATAGTTCTGGGAGATTGAACCCTTGTCTTCAGGTATCCTAAGCAAGAAGCACCCTATCACTGAGCTACTCTGGCAGCCCTTGTTTTGAAACAGGGTTGTGCACGCCTGTAATTCCAGCTACTAGGAGGGCTGGAGCAAGAGGATTGCAAGTTAATAGTCAGCATGGGCAACTTAGTGATTATTCTTTTTGATACCCAACTGTCCAATTTTTGGTCAATAAAAGCCCCCATAAAGTATGCTCTTATATCCTTTTGATATGAACCAAATATCTCTCAGTACTTTCTTGCTTTATGGCAGAGAAAGGCAGAGACAAAGAGTGACACAGAAATATTAAGATTAATTCCGGAAGTACATTTTTTGTCCCAGTCCTGGATTCATCAATTTCTCCAGGAGCCCTGGTTCCTTTTGGTGGGAAATGCCATTTAGAAACTACAATCTGTGCTTTAAGGTGACTCATAGAAGCCTTTTTAGCAACAGAACTAGTATTTCAGAAAGAAGTAAATAAATCATGAGTTCATACTAATGTTTCAAATCCAAACTTAAAATATAATTTTACAATTATTTTCTTTTATTTTACATTTACTTCTCTTATACTAAAATCTTAGTTCCTTTTTGACATCAAAATAATTCTCCATGGGCTGGGGTTGTGGCTCAATGGTAGAGTACTTGCCTAGCTTGTGTGAGGCCCTAGGTTCCATCCTCAGCACCACATAGAAATAAATAAATAAAATAAAGGTATTGTGTTCATTTACAACTAAAAAGTATTTTTAAAAATTATTCATTTGTTTTATAATATATCTATGGATATATATATATGCATATCTGTATCTATAAAACCATCAATTTTACTAATTGTAGAGATGACAAGTACAAATCAGGTAAGTGATTCTTTTTTAAAAAATAAATTTACTGGAGAAGAGGAGTTGCACAGAAGATGGAAGAAAAACCTCATTGTTACACAAAATACATATATAAGGCATCAGCATAGAATAGACATTATGATTGATGTATGTACATTCCATGTATGTATTTTTTTAATTCTTTTTTTTAATTGGTGTTCAAAACATTACAAAGCTCTTGACATATCATATTTCATACATTAGATTCAAGTGGGTTATGAACTCCCATTTTTACCCCAAATACAGATTGCAGAATCACATCAGTTACACATCCACATTTTTACATAATGCCCTATTAGTAACTGTTGTATTCTGCTTTCCTATCCTCTACTATCCTCTACTATCCCCCCTCCCCTCCCCTCCCATCTTCTCTCTCTATAAAAATAAATCTTATGGTAAAAAAAAATTTACTTTTTAAATTATGTATACATGACAGCAGAATGCATTTTGATTCATTGTAGGTGTGTGGTTCTTATCCTTCCATATGACCCATTAGAAAATAGTCAAATTTAAAGTCACTTGAAATCTCTGTGTGATTATGTTTTCAGCTTGATATATAATTAGATTCATTTGTTAATTTGCATTTGCATATAAACACTTTTTTAAAAACAATTTAATCTTTATTTTATTTATTTGTTTTTATGTGCTAAGGATTGAACCCAGGGCCTCACCAGTGCTAGGCAAGCGCTTTATCACTGAGCTATAATCACAGTCCCTGTACATATATTCTTTAAAAAACAAGAACTTAAGTAAGCAAAGATAGAAAATATCATATTTTTTACTTTTTATTTGGTGGTACTAGGAATTGAATCTTCAGGTACTCTGCCACTGAGCTACAACTCTTTTTATTTTTTGAGACAGGAACTCGCCAACTTGCTGAGGTGGGCCTTGAACTTGCAATCCTCCTGCCTCAGCCTCCTGAGTCACTGAGATTACAAGCATACATCACTGTGCCTGGCTCAAAGTCTTTTTAGATTGACTATAGCTAGCAGTTAGCTAGTACTGCAGCCCACTTCTCATTTTGAAAGGAGAAGCAAACAACTGATAATTGCGATGTTTAAACTTTTAAAAATAGAGAAAAAGCTAAAAATCAATTTTGTGTCATAGGTATCTTACATAAAGGAAATGCGTACAGTTATAAGTCTAATTAGTTTAACAGCTTTATTAAGATATAATTTACTTACTGAACAATTCACCCATTCAAAGTGTACAATGAAATGGTTTTTACTATATTCATAGAGCTGTTCAACCATTAATTACCTCAATTAATTTTAGAACATTCTTGTTACTCCCAAAACAAACTCTAAATCCCATTTTTGTTACCCTCCCAACTCTAATTCCTCCCAGCCATAGGCAACCACTACTCTATTTTGGTCTCTGCAGATTTGCCTATTCTGGACATTTTATATACACAAAATCATACAATATGTGTTTTTTTGTGACTGGCTTCTTTAACTAGCATAATGTTTTCAAGGTTTATATACCTATAGTATGCATCAGTACTAAATAATATATCATTAAATGGATACAAACATTTTATTTATCCATTCATCACTTGATGGATATTTGAGTTACTTCTACTTTTAGTCTGTTATGAGTAATACTACTTAGTATAATTTAAAATGATGAACAGAAAATATTTTTATCACTTTTTCTTTCCTCACTTGTTAACCTTATCCTAAGGTAATACCATCCTATATTCCCATTTGGTTACCTGTAAAAACAGATCTTTTTCAGATCTTCCATGTATCTCTTGCAAATGTCCTGCAGAGGATCTTTCTTCAGTGGACTAGTGTCCACTAAATTATCATTCCAGGAACCATTCCAGGGTTCGACACATTCTTCTATACATTTCAGAATTTCTTTATCATGAGGAGATGTGATTTGAGCACCAGTTTCCCAATAAACCTAGGTGATAGGTGTAGGTAAATATTGTTATGAATGATATATTGAAATACTCAACAGATTTTTCTTAGCTACAATAGAGATCTTTGGCTTTATGAAGAAACATATCAAGTAAATTGAGTAAAAGAATGTCAACATGAGACTAGTAAATACCAAAATATACTGATGATGATTCCACAGAGACTCAATAATAAAATAATTATGTATTATTTACTTTTTTAAGAATATACTTGGAAAACAATACAAGTAAAATATAAGCAGGGCATCAGGATAATATTAGAATATGCATATACCACAGTATCCAAACATACTCTTAGGTTTATAACTGTATATTAGAGATAATCTAAGAAACCACAAAATATCCCATAAAACTCCATACTATTAAACTTAACATTATAAAATGATTCTATTTTGTGATACAGAAGCTGTTTTCTATCATAAATTAAAGTAGAATTTATGTCACACCAAATAAAATCCATATCAGGAAATATAATTAACATGTCAATTATCCACATACATTTCAATAAGCTTTCAGTTTGTCAAATACTTTGATAAAAACAGTATTAGGAACAGTTACCAAAAAATCAAAAAATATAAATTCCAATAATTCACAAGATCTCAAAATTAAAAGAGACTTTGCTTAGAGAATATGTATGCTGGATTCCTACCATGTATATGATATGAATTCTCTCTATTGCACCCCAAATGAAGAAAAGACATATACACTTGAATATGTACTACATACTAAGCTCTATGTCAAGAAATATGGTGAACTACATAATTTAAAAATTCTTGTTCTTATGTAAAATTATTGTGTTCAATTAAAAATGAATATACATTTTTAGGGGCTGGGGTTGTAGCTCAATGGTAGAGCGCTTGCCTCACATGTGTGAGGCACTGGGTTCGATCCTCAGCACCACATAAAAATAATAAAGGTATTGTGTCTCTCTACAATTAAAAAATAAATACACATTTAAAAAATTGTTCTAAAAGCAAACAGCTCTAATTAAAGATAAAATAGAAAAAATATTAACTTAAATATATAGCTTAATTCACAAGAGGACAGGAAAAACTCCAGGCAGTGGGGAAAAAGGAAAGAATTAAAACTCAGAGTGATAAGCTTATAGGGGTAATGCTGGGGTTTGGGAACTGTTGATTTATCTGGCTTCTGCATTGTAATGCCTATGTGCAAGGTAGTGAGCTGGAATTGAGATTCCCCTAATAAGAACGGGAGTCTTGCGGTGGAATGAGATGGACATCATTACCCTAAGTACATGTATGAAGACACAAATGGTATGACTCTAATTTGTATACAACCAGAGATATAAAAAATTGTGCTCTCTCTATATTATATGAATTGGAATGCACTCTTTTTTTTTAAGAGAGAGAGAGAAATTTTGTTTATTTTTTTAGTTTTCGGCAGACACAACATCTTTCTTTGTATGTGGTGCTGAGGATTTGAACCTAGGCCACACACATACCAGGTGAGCGCACTACCGCTTGAGCCACATCCCCAGCCCTGTAATGCACTCTTGTTATCACATATAACAAATTAGAATAAAAAATAATTTAAGAAATGAGAGTCTTGAAACTTTCCCTCTTAGTCAAAGAGAACAGAAAGAGTCCTGTTTACTATTGTAGGGAGATCATGAGGAAGCAAGTCTATTTCTTCTTGGGTTTTGGGCAATTAAAAAAATTTTTTCAGCTCTTTACCTACTTCCTGGTTTCAAATCCCAAGCTACTTCTATCACGATATTCTGCCTCCCCTTGGGCCCAGAGCAACAGAGTTGGCCATCTATGGTCTGAGACCTCAGAAACCCTTTAGAATCTGACTTTCTGGAGGAACTGAGTCCCAGAGAGGATGCTTCTGAGCAAATAGTGTGAGTCCCACTAACATTAAAGCTAGAGGTGTTGCCTGACCATTTTGAGCAGACATGAAAAAGCATTATCACTCTGGTAGGGCCACTTGACTCTGATCTTCATGAGAATGTAAGATTGCTACTACAAACTGGGTGCCTCAGCAAATATTTTTGGCACTTGGTTTACTTGGTTTATATCTTGTTTTAACTGTAAATTAAAAAGTATAGCAGCCATGGACTCATATAGGCTTATAACCAATGACCCATCAGAGGGTCACCCTATAGAACAAACCATCTAGATAAGAAAAAAATAACTACCAAAGGAGTAGGGAAGTATAGATGGTATGGCCAAAGTCAGTGATATGAGTAATCAGTTAATTCCTCAGAGGCAAATACAACAGTCAGGGCTGTGGTCCATCCTACAAATCCTCCTTTTATATAATCAGGGAGCTGTCTTTAATTGGGTCTTCTAGAAGTAGAAGTTGAGATGAATTTCCAGTCAGAAATTCCAGAAAATTCTGACCAACCAGAATCCTAAATAGGTTGGGACTGAATATAATGAGCCAAATGAGGACTAGAATGATATAAGTGAAGAACTACAGTAGATATTCTTGGTACCCATTCAGATCCCCCTAGCCAGACCTAATTTATCTATCATTTAGCTGCTACATTGCCTACAGCTGCCCCATTCTTTGGGGAACATTCCTTGTCCAAAAGTCCTTGGGAAGTTTACCCATCACCACCAGCTACTCTTGGTCAATGACTAACATGGGGGTATGAACCTCAAAATGGGGCCAGCTTGGTGATGTCCTGTGATGCACACATTTCATTCCATCTCTCCTAAAGACCACAATGAATCTAAATTCCAGCTGAGACCACAGAGTTGCTTGATTTTCACCCTACTATCACTCCACCCTCTACCTGCTTCTCTCACTTTCCTTTTTCCAAGAGCATTCCCTTAAAAAGCCACTTTCACAGAAATTCTCAACTTCTGCTTCTGAAAGACCCAAGGGAAGATACTATCTCGGATCATATTACTTCCCTACCTCTTTCAGGGGTGAATACTATTAGAAATCTTTTGTTTATATGCTTGTGTGGTTTACTATGTATGCATGAATATGTGAATAATACACAACATTGTTTGAATATTTATGAACTTTATATAAATTGTATTATTCCCCTCCCCCAAAATTTCAAGTGTGAGAATTGATAAGTTAACACAGAAATTGCTCCCAGTCAGTGAAACCCTTGAGGTTCTGGCAGACATTAAACAAACTTGCTCGGGAGAGATGCTCCCACATTCCAAGCTGCAAAAAAAAGGATTCTCTGTGTAAACCCTGAAAAGCTCATAGTGAGAAAACTATAAAATAAGTAAAGTTCAGGAGTCCAAGGTTTACCTTGTATCCATTGTCTTCCTTGCGGTTGTGAGATGCAGTAATCATCACACCAGCAACTGCTTTGAGCTCCTGGACTGCATATGGCTAAAAAATAATAACATTATATTTCCATTTTGTTTCATTTGTTGTGAGAAGAACTTTGATTAAATAACAGAAAAAGACATTATGGCTTAAATGACCTAAACCTTATCAACTCCATGTTGATTGGGTGGAGTTCATTTCTAAAATATGTGGTTCAATAATCATCCAATTGTTAGACTGAACAGCTTTCCCAGTCTTGTTTAACTTAGTCCTATGAGCATTTCTTATTCTTTTGTTTATTTGCCAATATTTAATGAACACCTACTATATGTCAGACATTCCACCAAACTCTGGAGATGTGAAAAATAGAATCATAAAATATTGGAGTTGGAAGTAAATTTAGAAATCATCGAATCCATTACACTTTACATTGAGGGTTATCCAACATAATACAATCATTGGTAGAAGATTCAAAGGGAGAACATAAGTTTCTTGCTTTCCAATTTAAAGATTTTTAAATATACTATGTGGCCTCTATGTCATATATATAAGGGTCAACTCACCATATTCTCTCCCACAGTTAATTCTTAGATTGTATTTCCCATCTCAGTAGTAGCTATTATTTGTCACCTTCAGATAGTTCTCCTTCTGTTTCTACCATCATATCTGACTGCCCCCCTGGATCACAGTTGTGGGAGGGCAATGTTGAATACATGAGCCAGATCTGATCACAGCAATCTATTCCCTTGGTATGATTCAGAAACTGTTTCATCAACCAAACCTGATCAGAGTCTTTCTCCAAAATATTCTGGCTATAGTTAGTCAAGAGTGCTTTTCACTTAAGTCATAGTGATAAAAGGGTGTGAAATCTGGGATTGCTAAAAATACCTCCCCTACCAGCTAAAGCAAATCTATCTGCAATGAGAGAGAAAAGCCAACACAGTAGGATTGATGCTGACTGGAAATAACTACTCAGTGACAGAATCTTACAGAAATGGTCTATATTTCTAGATTCTCCCTGGCTTCTATTATTTTATTTTATTTTGGTATCAGGAATTGAACCCAGGAGTGCTTAACCACTGAACCATATCCCCAGCCCTTTTTATTTTTTATTCTGAGACAGGGTCTCACTAAGTTGCTTAGTGCCTCACAAAGTTGCTGAGGCTGGCTCTGAATTTGCAATCCTCCTGCTTTAGCCTCCCAAACCACTGGGATTTCAGGTGTGTACCACAGTGCCCAGCTTCCATTATTCATCAAAAATACAAATATATATATATATATATAAACATAAACATATATTTATATATATACACACACATATACGTATATTAGCAATTACTTTGATTCTTAAGCCACTAATTATATTTCTAACAAATCACTACAATATTTTATAGAAACATTTTCTATTGCTCAAATTTTTGGTAAAACTTGCTATAAAATCATCTGGACATTATATTTTAAATTTTAGAATATTTTAAAAATACAAATTAAATTTAAATTTATTTAATGATTATATGCTTATTCCAGTTTCTATTTTTATCAGTTTTAATGTATCAATTGTTATTCTAGGAAACTGGCTAATTCATTTAAGTTTGCACATTAATTTGTGTTATGTTGTTCAGAATGTTGTGATTTTCTTAATTCCTATTTTATTTATTATGCTCTCCTTTTAATTTTTAAATTTATGCCTTCTTTGTTTCTTGAGCACCCTTTCCAGGGTTTTATCTGTAATTCTATTCAGAGTCTAACTTTTTTAAAAATTTTGTTTTTAGTTATAGATGGACACAATATGTTTATTCTGTTTGCTTATTTTTATGTGGTGCTGAGGATCGAACCCAGTGCCTCACATGTGAGAGGCAAGCGCTCTGCCACTGAGCCCCAGCTCCAGTCCCAGAGTTCTAACTTTTGCTTTTTAAGCAGCTGATATCTTCTTTATTTTTTATTTACTTGATTTTTTTCTCATACCTTTATTATTTCATACCTTTTACTTAATTTGGATTTATTTAGTTTTAGCACAAACATATTAAGTTAACTAATCTTTTTCCCTAATATACTCATTAAAACTATAAATTTATCTTTACATGGGGCTTAGCTCTAGCCCCAAATTTTTGCTATTTATTGTTTTCATTATAGCTCAGTTTTAAATACAGGCAATCTTTGCTTTGCACAGTTCATAAACACAGATTTCTACTACCATATTGTTGTTAAATAGTACCAGTCTCCTAAAAACAGGTTCAAATTCAGATATCATGGTATATTAACCACTTAAGCACAAATGTGGTTGCTTACTCCTCAGTCCATAAATCACTATTTCCACCATGATCAATGACCAACCACATCACTCTTTAAAATCCTGTCAGTGTTAGTCACAAATAGCAAAGCATGTACCTATGTTGCCTCTTTATTTCCCAGTGATAAATCTACATGACAGTTATTTTCCAGTGATTAATCCACATGACAGTTTACCAAATTACATAACTAAAAATGGGTATTGGCCAAAGAAGATGAAAGTGCTGCAAAGAAATAAAAAATGACAATGGTAGAAGGGAAATTTGAGTTGAATAAATGGAATTATAAAAGAAACAGTCAGGAATGCTTACACTGCCACATTTAAAATGCAACCAAAGGATCTCACCATCCGCAGGTGAACATATAGAGGAAATGAGGAATGGGGTTGTGATTAAACAGAATGCAAAACATTTCAGAAGAAGTGATATAAGCAAAGCACTTTTAAGGCAAAATACATTAAAGGAACTCTCAGAGATATTTCACTACATAAAATAACAAAGGATAAAATGTTTGAAGCTGATCCAAACTTACAAAGATATATAATAATTTGCCAAGGCATACAAAAGATGCTCACTCATATTTAAAGTTAATGACAGGCAGTAAGTAATATTTAAATATTCTTGGTAAGTTTTTTTAAAAACAAAGTAATAAAACACTTTACTTCTCAACATCTCTATTGTTTTAAATTACAATATACTAACTATTATTTTTACCATTTTTTCCTTTCCTTAAATATTTTTTAAAAATATTTTTTTAGTTGTTGATGGACCTTTATTTTATTTATTTATATGTGGTGCTGAGAATTGAACCCAGTGCCTCACACATGCTAGGCAAGTACTTTTACCACTGAGCCATGACCCCAGCCCTCCTTAAATATTTTTAACCAAGAGTAAACTTTGGTGTTTTTAATGTTTTGTCCAGATATTTTAAAGGTCATAGAACAGCTGTAGCTGTTTATTGATTATTAAGATTACTTTGCATGCTTTTAGCTTGCACAGGTGCCTTTACAATTCTATAGTACCATTCAAAAGGACTGTGTGTACCTCTCATCTTCATTGTGGTATCTTCCTTAGCCATGAATTATTTATCAATGTGTTTTAAAATTTCTAAACACAGAATTTGGGAGGAGTTTTTTACTTCTAATTTTATTGTATTGGAGTCCAAGTATATAGCTTGTTTGCTTTTGGGGGTACTGAGGATTGAACCTAGGGGTACTCTACCACTGAGCTACATCCCCAGTCCCTTTTATTTTTTGTTTTTGAGACAGGGTCTCACTAAGTCACTGAGGTTGGACTCCTGCCTTAGCCTCTGGAGTCACTAGGATTACAGGTGTGTGCCACAGTACCTGATAAGCAGTTCTCTGGCATTTGTTGAGACTTCTTTTGTGACTCTGCTAAATAATAATGTACATTCTACCATCATGGAATGCAGAGTTTTTACACACACACACACACACACACACACACACACACACACACACACACACCAGACCTGTTAACACTGTGCTCAAAGCTACCTATCCACCTGATTAATTTCTGAAAGAAGGGTATTGAAATTTCCATGACTGTGACTTCTCAATTCTTGATCAAATTCTTTGTGGTTCAACATTCAACAAATGATTGATGAAATGAAAATAAACTCAGAGTAAAATTTGTTTTCCTTCCTTTGGTTTCTCATATCACTCAATACAAAACCTTATTTATGATAAAGATTTGAATCCTAGTTGATTTAAAAAATATTTACAAGGGCAGCAAACTGAATGATCACTAACACAACATACTTACTACAAAAGGTGTAGGAACATATCTTGAAAAAAGGTACACAGGAACATCTTTAGCCAGCAAGACTGCAGCAGTGAGTTTAGCAAGCCTAAAAATAAGAGAGATCTCACTTAGTCTTTAGTTTACCACTTTTTATTATTATTTTTTAAATTTTATTGGTACCAGGGATCCAACCTAGGGGCAGTTAATCATTAAGCCACATCCCCAGCCCTTTTTGTATTTTATTTGGAAACATGGTCTTGATAAATTGCTTAGGGCCTCACTAAGTTGCTGAGGCTGGCTTTGAACTCATAATCCTCCTGCCTCAGCTTCCCAAACTGCTGGGATTATAGGCTTGTGCCACAACACCAGCTTAGTTACACCACTTTTTAAAAATCAAACTTTAACATAAATAAATGTTTCATATTCCAATTATTCTGAATATATGGTATCTTAATATAAACCAGATTTTATCATCACTGATTATTTAAGCATGTGCTCCAACTTAAAAATGTTAAATAAGTTTTTGTGTTTTTTTTTAAAGAAGCTTTGGGCTATGGATATAGCTCAGTGATAGAGAGCCTTCTTAGCTAAGCTTTGCAAGGCCTGGCTTTGTTCCTCCCTAGCACCACACAAAAAGAAAAACAAAACCAACAAAAAATAAGCAAAAAAACCAAAAACAAAACAAAAAAGCCCCCTAAACTAAAAGGAACTTAACAATTAACAGAACTGACATTACAATTCTTCTTTTGCTCTCAAATCATCTTTTGATGAGTATTTTACTAAGAAATATAACCTGTAACAGGAATGTAACAAAGTAACAGGAATGGAGGAAAGTGAAATAAAACAAATCCAAAATGTATAAATACCCCTGAAAAGAAAATATCACATCATAATTATCTATTATGAAAAAAACTCTAAAAATAACCAAATAAGATTTTAATGCAAGAATACAAGCTACATAATCATTCCTACCCAGTGCCATCACCAATGTTAATTTATAAGCTACAATATTATTCTCAATGTGACCTTTAAGTATTTGAACATTTTACTTCTTTCTGTAAAATTAAACCTTATCTTTGAAATACTTTTATTTCTCTTTCAGCTCTAAAATAAACATTGTCATGTGTTCACACTTCTGTTTGACAGTCTCCTGCTTCAGAAATCCTACTACTGGAAAAAAAGAAAATTCTTGTTTTAGTCCACTTCAACTTAATCTTTGAAACAAATTAACACTGTACCTCTGGCTGCTGCAGCTGCTAGTTACTTGACCCCGAGTGTCATATCCAACAACAAAGCCTCTCTGCTTGAAGTCTGAGAAACATCTCTCAAGGTATTTGTACATCCCCTGAAGTAAATAAATACAAAAGATCAGTTCCTGCTGAATGCTTGCTTGTGTATTATAAGACTTAAAATCTCTTTATGTTTGGTGTGCATCTTACTGGCTTCTGCCTTTATGCTCATGTTTACTAATGTGGACACAATATTGTTTAATCCACAAATGTGAACTGACAAACATTTTGTGGATTTTTAGACACATTTAATACGATACAAATATCAATTTAGTAACCATAAAATCCATAAAACACGAGGGGAAAAAAGATGAAAGCTATGAGTCAATGGGCTAAAATATATTGTTGAAGAGCCAAAAGAACTCGTTTCTTGCTTCAAGGCTCTAGAAAACAGAATTTTAACCATTTAGGCCCTTGCTAAATCATGCCATTGAAGCTAACCAAAAGATCTGACCTATTTATGACACAAATATTTTTAATTAGCCACACAGTTCTTCACTGGCACATTTTTTAAGATGGCTGATACCACTTATAATTTTTTGGTTTTAAAATTTTACAGGAAAAGAAGTCAGACTAGAAAAATCTGCAATCAAAGGTGACAAAAAAATGAAATATTTCACATTGAAACTATAGCAATGATAAAATAAAACCATTTACCTTAGAAATGATTTGCTAACTTTAATAAACATTTCATCTTTAAAAATAACACTTATATCCTTACAGTTCTTTAGAATTACACATAAACACATATCTACACAAGGATAGAAAATTTAATCATTATAACAACCCTGAAAAGAAATGCAAATACCATTTTTGTCTGTCTTAAAATTTCTTTTAAAAAAGAAGAAACAGAATAAGTCTGAAGCTCCATGTAATCACTTGTCCAAGGCCCGTCATTCAATTAAAATTTAAGTTATTAAAGTTTATTGAAGACCTATGATAAAGCCCCAGTGACTTCCAGTACATAGGTCTTTCAAGTACACTTATTTCTTCCAACTACTCCCTATGAGTGACTGGGTGATGGAGACAGATTAATAGAGCCCAAATGGGCTAGTTTCACCATTTTCTTTCTAATGATGACACTATCCTAAACCTTATAGACCCTCATATTATTATCTACTATGAGAATCCATTTTATCTTATTCCCTCACATGCAAAGTATGAAAGGGTTAGGCCTTATGAACCAGATCTCATTTGGCCTGGTTTATGAGGAAACTCAATATATACATAAAAAAGACTGAACTATTAGCATTTCTGGTGAGGACAAGAAAGGATATGAAGAAGGGGAAGGTAGGGAAGGTGACAAGTATCCTACCTACCCAGTGCTAACCTGTCTTCCCTTCTTCAACATCCCCTGCATATAAGCCATTGGCTTTAGAATGAGGATAAAGATGATTTCCTGTTTGGCAGTATTGACTAGAATAATGTCTACTGAGGTATTCTATAGCCTGGAACTATTTTTACTATATGCTAAATGCATTACTGACCTCAAAGGCGTGGTTCCTTCAAACAGTGAGGATAATTTACTGGGAAGAGAAGCAATTTGTTTCTAAAATAAGTTTCATAAAAATGGAGAGAAATAAAAACAAATTATATTTTGTTATAAAAGAACTATCAAATGGCTTTGGAAAACCATATTTAAGTAGAATATTTTCAACTAAATTTTCCATACTCTGGTTAACCTTTATGAATACCAGATGCCAAGATGAGTAATTATCTTCTTTCTAAGTTTGCTTGTTTATGTTATCTGGACATGTCAATTTATCCATTTCTTGGTTTCAAATGCAAAGTTAACTCTGGCAAGAAATGACAATGGCTACCAAAATAACTCTTAATCAGAAACTTAGTCTGTGATCTTGAAGATACAAAAATTACTTCTAAGATAAATCTCAGGCAAGAACAAATGTCAGAATTTGGTCTATACTCTTTACTTACAGGAGAATACCTTCCCAGACAAAAGGCTCCTCCTCACTGGCTTTTTTTTTTTTTTTTAAAGAAAGACATTACCTAATTTATAAAGCTGAATGACAGAGTAAGAAAAAGTATAATTCATAATACTTACCTGTGTTGATTGTATTACTGTAAGGTCATTAATATAGCAAAATCCTGCCCCCATAGCAGAACGAAGTCCTGCAGTGCCAAAAGTCATTCGGCAGCAAAGACGATCTCGCAACTCCTTGTTCATCCCATTCCGTAAAAGATTTTCAATCTGCTCTTTTGTTTTAGGATTCTACAAAAGAAGTTAAAGCTAAATCAGGATTAGAGTCCTAACATCAAAGTCTTCTAAGGGTCCAATATGCATATATCACAAGGTTTTACATTTACTACAAATTCCATAGTGCTACTTATTAAATTAGTATATAACATAAACACAATACCTGGCATTTATTGAGTCCCACAAGGACAGGGCCCATTTTACATGCTTCTGATTTTTAGAACATTCTTAAATAACATACTCAAGAATGTTCTTCTAAACAATTTGATAAACTTAAGAGCCAAGGATCCAAAATAAACTTGTCAAAAATGACATCATTTAGAATCTATATTAAGTTTTGTTTTTTTTTTTTGTACCAGAGATTGAACTCAGGAGCACTCAACCACTGAGCCACATCTCCAGCCCTATTTTGTATTTTATTTAGAGACAGGGTCTCACTGAGTTGCTTAGCACCTCACTTTTGCTGAAGTTGGCTTTGAACTCATGAGCCTTCTATCTCAGAGATTATGGGTGTGAGCCACTGTGCCTGACTAGAATCTTTAATAAATTTTAAAAGAAATATGACTGCTACTGAATAACACCATCAAAACATGCCTACCAATCACCTTACCTAAACCTCTGCAAACCCAAATAACTGGATAAACCTTACTACTCTTTAGAATCATAGAAAACCTTTTAATTTATCTATAGCTGAACATAAAAAGGTCTTAGATATCAAACATATTATGTTGAATTTTCAAATTAGGTTGAGAGGCAGGGCAATGCCGACATCCATATTTTAGGATTCTGTATTTCACTGGCATGTACTTCTTCAACTTGTTTTCATAAATCTTAAGGATATCTATGACTGAAAACAGTGCTTTACCAAAAAGTTGCAGATTTGGGGCTGGAGGTGTAAGTTCAGTGGGTAAAGCGTGTGGTTTGCATGTACAAGGCCCTTCATTCACTTTTGAGATTAAAAATATAAATTAAACAGTAGCATATTTTAAATAGAAATGAAATTATAATATAAAATAAAACTTAAATGGAAATTTCTAATATTTTCTTTTTGGACAGTCAATTTACCAAGAAAATAAGGTAAAATACAACTTCTCTTTAAGGTTAGTATGAATTGAGTCTGTACTATTTATTTCTTCTATATCTATAGACTATAATGAATATTCAGAATTAGAATCCAAGGCAGCTAAAAGGTGCTATTAGAGTATATTTATACTTACAAAGACAAAATATATCAATATATAATTTAAACAATACAGTTTTCTGTTTATGTGGAAATTAAAGTAAACAGAGTACATGGTCAAACTAACAACAAAACCATGAAAATTCTGGTTAACTGATATTTTAATCTAGTTAAAATTGATAGATGTTGAAAATATATATAATATATACATATATATGTATATATATACATATATATGTATACTTACACTCAAGAAGTTTCCATTTTAAATGGCACAAACTAAAACTACACCGCTTACATAAAAAGATGCATAGCTCTTAAAAGAAAAATCTAAACAATAACAATATCTGAGTTACTAGCATATAATTCCAAAGTCTAAGATATCACCAGATTTGATAAAGACATCAAAGAGATTCAGAGAAGGTCAACACTTAAAGATTGGCACAAGAACAGCAAAAATTGAATGAATTTTTCACACATAGGAGATCTACGGCATTATGATACAGTCAGTGAGACTGCAAATCGGGATGATCTTTTTGGAGTGATTTTAAAGCAAAGCATTAATTTTTAAACTGCACATGCTTATTGGCTCACAGGTTTTTCTGACCATGGCAATATCTTCATACAAACAAAAATATTTAAACAAGAATATTCACTGCAGCATTCCTACTAGTAGTATCATTATTCCACTACATAGACAAAATTTACACAAGGAGCCCAGTAGTACTGAGCTAGTACTAGAGATTTACTCAGGATTTGAACCTACACCAGTCTGGACTATATTAAGAACTGTATTATCTTACTAAAACAAAATAACTACATTGAGCAGGTTAATAATGCTTCTCATAATAATTTAACTTCAGCTACAAAGCAAAATAATATTTTTGTTATAGCTATAAAATATAAAAATGATACACCAGACACAAATGCTATGAACTTAGTGAATTTCCTAATGTTTAACTGAACAGCTACTAGGGTAGGGCCTGAAAATTCCATTTCCTACTACAAACCTCACAATGAAATTCCTGGTTCTTACAAGGTTTGTAGGGTTGAGAAAATAAAAACAGATAAAGAATCATGATGTATTAAACATAATTAGTAAACTTGCATGATAAGATGAGATAAATAATTATGATAGCCATTTAAAATCTACTTTAAATTCAGATTTCTCCACTACTTAACAGCCAGATATCAAATTACAAACTTTAAAAAATATAACTTAAAAAAACTATCTATGTAGCCACACTATCTTATATTTTTCCATTCAGGTAATACATTGCATTTGTATTTTGTTGCTAAAATCTTAAGATTTAATGAACTATAAGCAAATTATTATTATTTTGGGGGGGATTGTGTACCAGGGATTGAACTCAGGAGCACTCAACCACTGAGCCACATTCCCAACCCTATTTTGAATTTTATTTTGAGATAGAGTCCCACTGAGTTACTTAGTGCCTTGCTTTTGCTGAGGCTGGCTTTGAACTCGAGATCCTCCTGCCTCCCAAGGCGTGGACCACTATACCTGGTTTAAGCAAATTATTTTCAAATGCAATTTCCATGCAGAATTCAGATACAGTAAATGAAAAGGAAAACAGAAGAATTTGTAGAATAAGAGGTATGTGTATATTTATTTTTTTTAGCAAAAAAGGGCTAAAAATCATGATCCTCTGACTATAGCTATAGGTTGTTTGAGAATTTTATGTACATATTACTTAATTTTTATGGTCAGCCAGTTAAGTATTCATGATGGCTGAGAAAAACAACTACTTGTATGTCTATGTGAATACTTTTCATCTCACAAACTGCCTTTCTTTTCCTACTTACAGAAAGCTAATAATATGATCAGAATTTATAAAACATACTAAAGTTTTCTCAAATATAAATTATTATTTGCTTTTTAAATGTGCTTTCTTATTCACAATTTATTCTGTACCTAAGGACAAGAGAAACCAGTCAGGGAAAAAAAGAATAATAAAATTAGTCAGCTGGCACCAATTATTTAAAAAGTACCCCTAAAACGGTACGTAGTAGCTATTAAATTAACATATTTCAGAATGTACCTATTGACCCATTACATAAAATGAAAATTATTTAGAAGTAAATATGTTCAATCTGAACTAAATTTACTCTTATCTGGCATCTTAGATTCCTAATAATTTTAGTAGCCCCCAAAAGGAATCCTGGAGAAAATCCAGAGAGATTTTAGTGACCCCTAGCATTTTCTGTACTAGCATTTTCTATATTTCATTCATAATGAATAAAATAATTGTTTAGTATGAAATCAGTAAGTTGAAGAGTATAGAATTGAGTTTGTGCATTATTTTCAAATTTTACCTGTATACCAAAAAAAATGTAGAACCTTTAAGTTCTAATCCTATGGATTGCTGTAACTTTATATGGCTGAAATGAAGAAAAGAAAGTGTCCTCTTACATAATACTCATGGAGGTTTTTCCCATATTGTAGAACCATAAGGCCCAATTCAAAGAAAATATGTAAGAAATTATTTTTAAAATGTTAAACATATAGAAGGGTTTCTTTTAACAAATATAACTTTTTGCAGACGTTCATAGATGTGAAGAAAGCTACATGTCAGACCAAAATCACACCAACTTTTCCTGCCATCAAATCAAAGTATCAGCATTCACTTAAGGATCATTTTGGACTCATCAAAGCTTTCTAAACCTATTGTGTTAATAACTAGGGACTCCTGCATTCTTTATACACAATAAATACAAACATATATAAAAGTGTGTAAAAAAATGCGATCAAGTTTGCCAATGAGGAATTTATCTTTTTTCTATTTTATAAACCTAATAGTTTTATACTTCCTATACAACTTGAATTTATTTTATTAATACTCTAGTACTAGATCCAACAGCTTAGAAACAATCTAAACCATAACCTTCATTATTTAGAAGATTGGAACAGATCTAAAAGAACATGATATATATTAACAACCCCAAATCCTAATATTGTTATTCATGTAAGGCAGCAAATATACAAAATTGACTCTTTAGTCACTCAAATACATCTAAAGTTATAAAACTACAGATAATATTCTAAAATATCACTGTTAAAGACTTGTGCCTAAATAACAAATATTAATTTAATATAACTTCAGAGGAAAAAAATGTAAAGTTTCTTTTTAAACAGAAGTTAAAATAGGAAACTGCAATCTGAAAAGCTGAAGGATGAACACAGCTTGACATTTACTTCTGAGCATCAGCCAGCTTGACGATCCATTTCCAGAGTTCTGGAGTAGGGCAGGTTTTCCAAATCAGATGCTTCCTTATTAAGTCCAAAATATAGTCATGCTAAACCAATCAATGTTTTTCATTTAAAGGATTTTTGTATAATTTTAAATTTAATTTCCATATTTTTAAAATTTGGTAGAAATTAGCATGAATTGGCTTAGATAAAAAAAACTTGAATGACTATACTTTTCATACAAATGATATTTACTTGAATAATCAACAAATACAAAAATCAACCAAGGAAATGAAGATGTTAACTATCTCCAAAACAGAAAATAAGCCTTGAAATATAGCATACTGTTAGCACTTACGCATAATATTGGATATGCCAAGATTAATGTGAGAGATAAAAATTATAATGTTTATTATTTCAAAAGTTAAGCTACCTAAACATAAAAACAAAAAACAAACAAACAAACAAAAAACAAACAAACAAAAAAAACCCCACCTTGTTTGGGGCCAGGGTTGTGGCTCAATGACAAAGCACTTGTGTAGCATGTATGAGTCACCAGGTTTGATCCTTAGCACCGCAATCAAAAATAAGCACAAAAAAAAAGGCATGCTGTCCATCTACAACCAC